TCCAAGTACCTTTAAAGCGATGGCAAGCTAGCCGATACTCTTGATCACTTTACTGACTGCCAGAACGCCGAAAAATCTGCAGTTTTTGACTTCCAAAGTTCCTTTAAGCCCTAAATTCTCTGGTCGTTTGATGTTGCAAGTAGCGCCATGTAGTTGCCGTGTCATTTTTACCGCCATCAAGTGGGGATTAAGGCGACGCTTTTAGAGGGTCGATGGCATACCATTTCTCTCGCTCTCTCTCTCTCTCACTCTCTCTCTCTCTCTCTCTCTGCACCTGGTTTAGTCATCCGCCGAGACTCGCTTTCATAATCCCGATGCTAGGGGTGTGGGGTAGCAAAGCCCCATCCCGCCGCCCACGTTTTTCCGCCTGGCTACTATACAACCGGCCCCGGACAACACCTGCCCGGAAATGGGGGACCTTGAAAATAGAGCCAAATTTATTTAAAAATTGAGAAAAAAATTAATTTTTCCAAAATTGCCCCTGAAAACCACAAAATCAGTGAAAAAAAAATGCTGGATCTAGCAAATGGTTCCCTGCTAGCCTGCCTTGGTGGACTTTTCTGGCTATCTGTCAGCCATTTTAGCTTTCCGCAAAGAATCTCTGCTAGCTTGCTTTGAAAAAAACAGAAATGACTAAATAGCTAGCTAAAAGCCTGGAAAATCGAGAAAACGTGGCCTGGGTTCCTAAATGATCTCTGCTAGCCTGCCCACTTCGAATTCCATCTAGCTGCCAGCCAGTCTACCCATTCCACAAATGGTCTATGCTAGCCTGCCCTCAATTCTCGAATTATCCACTGGAATTTGGGTCCTAGTATTTGGGGCAGGGTTCCTGTTCATGGGCCATTTTGGGCCCTTTTGTGGGCCCTAAATCTTCCCTTATCCAGGGTGCCATCAAGATCCCTTTGGATGTCCCGAATCGAGACATCCCCGCTAGGAAATAAATAAAGAGAGGGAGAGAGAGAGAGAGATAGAAAGAGGCCAGGGGAACGACTACTTTATGCATGGAAATCCGAGCCCTTCCCCTTTGGCCCTTAGGGCCCAGTGGTGGGTCCTAAGGGGATGGGGTCTGTGGTGGGTAAGTGGAGGAGAAGGCTTCTGGATTGACCCCCCACAACGACTACTTGTTCTGCATTCCATTAACGGATTAAAGGGACTGGCAAGCGAGGGAAGGGCAGGCTAGCAGAGATCGTTTGGGGAATGGCTAAACTGACTGCCAGATTCCTGGAATCCAAAGTGGGCAAGCTGGCAGAGGCTATTGAGGATGAATGATTTCGACTAAAAAAAGGAAAAATTTACAAATCAACCGCCCGTTCAGCAAGGCAAGCTAGCAGAGGTCATTTGGGGGCTGAGAATGGGCGAACTCGCAGAGATTCCTTCCGGAATCGGTATACTGGCTGACAGGTAGCCGATTCTTCAAGAGGCAAACTAGCAGAAACCATTTTTGAGGCTAGGACAGCTATGAGAGCAAATTCGGAAAATTGGAAGCAAGCTAGCGGTGATTCTTTGAGATCCTGAAGCGATCGAGCAGTGATCATTTGCGGAATGGGCTAACTGCCTGGCAGATTGACCAATCCCTCAATGGCAACCTAGCAGCGATCGTTGGCGATTCCGAAATCGTCCGATCCCCCAATTTTCGGATTATCCTGTGGCCCTAGCCAGGATCTAACGGAGTACATAGGTCACAATCCACCAGTCTTGTCATGCCAAAAGGGGAAGACTAATTGGTGGGTCAGAGAAGAGAGAGAGTGAGAGAGAGAGAGACGGGTCAATAGGAGTCCCCGGAAAAGGGGTACCCTAATGACGGACCTCGGGACGTGGGGGAGCACTAGGATTCTCCAGATTCCGATGGATGAATGGGCCAAAGGGACGAGGAGGGGACCCAAATTTGCATGGCATTGAAGGGGCCAAGAAAGTAGAAGAATACTCAAAACCTCAAAGACTCTCTGCTAGCCTGCCCTCGCTCCCAATTCCCTAACGAATCTCTGCTAGTATGCCCTAAATTCTCAAACTTTCTCCGCTAGTTTACCCATCTGGCAACCAGTCTGGCGATTTCCCAAAGAATCTCTGCTGGCCTGCCCTCATTTCCTAAATTTTCTCTGCTAGTGCTCCCCGCTGGGATCCACGGTGGTCATTTCTAGAGATCTCTGCTAGCCTGGCCAGTTTCCCCAAATTTTCTCCGCTAATTCACTTAGCTGCCAGTCAGTCCACTCATTCCTCAAAAATCTCTGCCAGCCTACCCTAATATCATTCTTTTCCAGAAGTGTCCTCCGAACGGTACCCTCTACATCGGCCGTCCAATCGAAGGGGGAATATTCATGTCGTGTACGGATCACGGATACCAAGAAAAATGAGTGGATCTACGCGTCGACAGGGGCAAGGTGAGCAAGACAATAGATATTTTTAACGCAAAATGTTGTAATTAGGAAAATTTCGTAGCTTTCAAAATACCATTTTTCAGATCTTCGATCCATATCCGCTTCGCTTCGAAGCGGAACCCGAGGATTTCCACGCTGCCCCCGGTCACACTGCCGTTTTTCACTGTCGCGTGGTGAGTTTTTCGGGATTTTCATGGCTTGGTTGTATAAATCGTAAGTGATTTCTGTTATTCTACATCTTTAAATTGTCGGTTTTCCTTGGATTATTGCACTTCCCAGTCCCCTGAATTGGGCATTTCCCCAGCCCTCTATTGCATTTCGACTATCTGCCAGACAACCCTATCCATTCCGCAAAGAATCTTCGCTAGCTTACCCCAGAAAAAATTTTAAGTTAAATTTACAGTTTTCGAGTTTTTCGATATTTCTATGGATTTTGCCTTCCCAGCTCCTTTAATTGGGGATTTCCTGCGGCAATCGTACAATTTGAGGGCAATCTAGGTGCCCCCTCTCTAGGCTAGTGGTCAAGAGGAAAAGGACCCACCTGCCCGGGGGTAGAGACATCAATTCCTTCCCGTCCCCTTCTCTTAGGGGCCCACTGGCCCTTAGTCCCGTGTGGCCCGGGGCCCAATATTTTGATTGGCCCTGACTAATTGGCGGCCAGTCTGCCGTTTCGCATTGCCCGGAAAAGAGGGAACGCGCTTTTCGAAGGATTGAGCCCCGGGATGGCTGAAATTTGCCTCAGAAATTTGGTCAGTTCAATAGGTTACGCCATCAAAAGCTGATAACCGGATGTCATTGATTGCGCTAAGTAAAATACCTTAGCAAACGGTTTAATCGATTACGGGTTTGAATTGGTCCGCGGGCCCAAATTTTGAAACTGGTTACGACATCAAAATTTGGGCATACTAACGAGGATCATTATGGAAAATTCTGTAAACCTACAGTATGCCAGGCAGTTAAGAAAAGGGGCAGGCTAGCGGAGATCGTTTAAGATTGCGCGACGAAAATGACCGAGAATTTTTACAAAAATCCTTTTTTTTTCCCAGAAAAGAAGCGAACGTGACGGCGACGCGTGGCTGTTCAACGACAGACCTCTGCGGTTAAATGGTAAGGAGAGATACGGTAGAAAGTACGTTGCATTACAGATGATACCCGAGTGATCCCGCTCTCTGGAAGCCTGGAAATCCATCCGGTTCTCCCGAAACATCAGGATTCTATCGACGTGAAGTGGAGGACGAGGGAGAAGCTTTGAAAGCACTGCTGCACGGCTACAGGTCGAGACGAGGGGTACGGAAGTTTAAATTCGAAATGAATTTGAGAATCGTGCTCTCTCAATTATCTGCTCTCTCACTCACTCTCTCTGTCTCTCTCCCTGACCAAATATTTTACGCTACCAAAAGCTGCCCTGGGTTTCAGTTTAATCGATTACGTCATGAAAAGGCCAAATGTTCACCATTTGACCGATTACGACATGAAAACGGCAACCGGCCTATTCGTTTAGCGCTTGAAAACTGCTTTGGCGCCCGGTTTGACCGATTACGCCATTAAAGGGGGGGACGGGGTCGGGTTTATTCGCTACGTTATGAAAAGGCCAAGCTGGGATTATTCGATTACGCGATGAAATTAAGTTCATTATCGATGGTTTTTCAGCTCCAATCGCCCGCGGTCTCCTCTCGTGGCCCCGAAGTGTTACGGTAGCCGAGGGAAGACCAGCGCTTTTGGAGTGTCTACCAGCCGGAATGGCCGGAGCACAAGTTGAATGGTAGGTCAAAGGCGGCAAGCCAGCAGGGAGCATTTGGGGAATAAATAAACTGGCAGCCAGGTAGACGAAATCCCGGAAGGGCAAGCAAGCAGAGACAATTTGTGGATTTTCAGGCTCCGCAACGGTTCATACCTTCGCGTTGATGGTGAACGCGTCCGGCTCGTCTCCTCCTCACTCCATTTTACGAGGACGCTACCTTCCGGCAAGCGCAGCTTTTACCGTCAAGAGGTGTTGTTTTTAGCCGAGCGTACTGTAGATAGCGTAATTTCCTCTAATTTTTAGATACGGTAACGTGCCACCCGTCAAACGTCGCTTCACGGTGATGTGCAGAGAAACGGCAGAACTCGTCGTTATTGGTGCGTTTTTCGATTTTGATTGCATAATCGTTTAAACTGCCCAAAATGGATATAACGTAAGCATTTAATTAACCTGCCGACTGTCTTTGGGGGCGCTGGGTTGCGTAATCGGATAAGACCAACATGCAACGGTTTAGGAGAGAATTGATTGAACCGATCCCGGGTATTTTATGGGGCGACCGCTTAAACTGGCTAGCACTAATTTTAACTGCTTAATAGATTAAACTGACACCCGGATATTTCAATGACGTAATTTGGTTAAACCTTATCGCTCTAGAATCCCCTCGCCTTACCGTATCACTGGCCGATCGCATTGCCTCGGAACGGCAGGATGTACAGAAAGCGTAGTTTGCATGCCCTACGAAAATCCATAATATCCCTTGCCCATCCGCTTTAGCGGCAAACCCGCTTTGAGATGCGTTTACGAGACAAAAGGGCCCTCCCGGAAGTGGGAATGGATCAAAAATGGAATCCCGGTGCTTTCTAACCATTTTATCAAAATTCAACATGGTCATCTACGCATTCTCGGAGTTGTCAAAGCCGATCAAGGTAGCAATTTGGAATTAGTTTGCGTAATCGATTAAGTGAGAAAAAAAGCTGTTTTTGCTTGCGTAATCGATTAGCGAAGAGCGAGAGAACGAGAGGGCGAGAGAAACAGAGAGCGAGCGAGAGCGAGAGAGAGCGAGAGAGCGAGAGAGAGCGGGCGAGCGAGAGAGAGAGTGAGAGAGAGGGGAGAGGAGGACAGAGACGAGAGTTGAGACAGAGAGAGCGAGCGAGAGAGAAGGGTGCGAAATTTCTGTTCTCCAGGCGTCTACCAGTGCATCGCAAGAAATGAGGCGGGCACCGTATCCTCCTATGCTCAACTCCTCGTCGATAGTCATGGTGCGTCAATTTCAAAAAATTTAATTGCTAAGCAAACAGAGTCCTCTTCAATCCCCACCTCAGACTCTAGATCTAAATACAAACAGTTCAATTCACAGCAAGGCTGGCTTTAGTGGCATATCACAGCTGAAGTACCTTGGTTTCACTAATTTGCTATATGAATAACTTAGGAATATTATGTAACATATGTATCAACATCTGTATCTCGTAATAACCATTTCATAATCTAACATGATCTAATTTTTCCAACACAGACATTTCTTTATTTTAGATGACTGCAAAAAATCAGGCAGTTGAGTGTAGATTGATTAATTTTTAAAAGTACACTTACCACCTTGTATCTTTGTGCCCATCAGACTGCATGCTCCTGAAAGTAAAACTAAAGTGTGTGCATATGTACTATTGCCACTCGAAGTTGTCAGCCTTCTGGTGACGTGATCTTATGCCGCGTCAGTGTTTCCTCAGCCTTCTTTTGCCTAACATTAATCTGTGAGCTTTTTCCGGACGCCGGACCAAACTCTTTGGAACTTGGCGTAACGAAGCGTACAGCCGGCGTAACCGCTGGGCTATCTTTCGGCGACCTTCGTGCGATTTCATGCCTGTGTCCTGTGGCGACATTTTCACATGCATCTAAGACCACCCGACGCGGGATCAGCGGAAACAGTGATGAAAAACACGGTGCGGCTGTCTGTGTATCTCCTTACTGGAAGCGTCGACTGTTTGTTCAGTTCCTCAGAAGGCAATCCTCGTCTCAGTTTGAGACGGACCTACCAGTTCAGATGTAACTGGATCGGACCTGGATCAAATGACCCCAGACATTCAGGAAAACTTCTTGCCTGAATAGTTTCTTCTCGAGAGAGGTTGTTCTGGATGGTGGTTGGACTACCGAGAATAAAAGGTGGGACGGCAAACTCTGGTTATTTCGGTTTGCCTGCGGCGTTTGGTGATGTGGTGTCTCGAACTGTATTACTGGTCAACATTGTCTTTCTTCGAAAGATACAAACTGCAAACTAGGGCGGAAGCTCGGAAAAATCGATTTTACGCAAAATTGTAGTTTTGTTTGAAAATCCATGGCGATCTAGCAGCGATAATTTGGGGAACAGGTTTATTGCCTGGCAGATAGATAGATCACGCATTAATAACTAGAAAATACAAACTCCAGGCCACTCAATTCGAAAAGATCGATAAATTTCAGAGAGCGCTCCATTAATGCGTCATCGCGATGGGCAACCCTTTCCGGTCTTTCTCCCGAGAAATTGTACATCATTCGGGTGGCCGGGGAGAATGAGGCTGGAATCGGGCTCTCTTCTGATCACATCAAGATCACCACGGCAAAAGAACGTACGTTACTGTACTTTACACATAGGTCCAAATAGCCGCGAAGCGGTTTTTCGGTCCTGACGAGGCGAATTCCGGATTTTCACGCAAATTTGCTGTTTTCAGAAGCCGTTCCGGGTCAAATTTCGCACCTGGCGGCGACGGCAACAGGTTCAGAGGGTGTAGATGTTCGCTGGGAGCCCCCGGGAGGGAATGGAGGACAACCATCACCACATAGATATTCTCTTTTCTATCGGAGACATCCACCCACCCATAATGAACCGGAGACGCAGATCACGGTACGTTTTTCTCTAGAGCTTAACCGATTACGCCGTCAAAATCCATACGATTACGCTATGAAAATCATAATTGAAACTATCGCGCTATAAAAACCAGCTTATCTCACCATTTTTCTTTCCAGTTTAATCGATTAGGCTATGAACAATCTAACTGACAACTGTTTAAACGATTACGGCATAAAATTCAACTAGATTGAGCTATTAAAACATGGCTGAATCGATTACGCAAGCGAATTCCATCCGATCCTACCTTATATAATTTTGGGGTGTATCTCTGTGTGTGTGTGTGGATGTCACTTTCGAGGCCCGATTTGAGGGCCTTCCCCTGGATAAAATGCGCTAATTCTTCGTCACTAGGGGGAATCGACCCTCCTCTTTTCGGTGGCGTTTTCAAAATTGCGATAAAATACAAGTTTACAAAGTTAAAGCCGGTTTTATTCATTTTTGGGGGTAATTTGCATAATGTGAAAAATAGAAATTGCCTCATTCTTCCCAGTTGCACGCGCGTGTGTGGTCGGTAGGGGGAGGAGGATCCGAAGGACCCGAGGTATGGAAAAGTCAAATTGTTCATGCAAAGGCCGCATTCCAGCGCCCAAGGCCCGCGAAGCGGCTTTTGGGCGCTGGTTATGCCATGAAAAGGCTTAATGTCAAGCATTTAACCGGTTAAAGCATTCAATTAACCGGTATTTAAACGATTACGCCCCGTAAAAGTGTTAACTCGTAGATTTTTAATCGGTTACACCATAAATATCCACGCGATTACGTCATTAAATGACGGCTAGCAAACATTTAACCAATTACTTCATCAAACTGAATGTGGTTTAACCGATTACGCCATGCAAAGACAAACTGGGTGGCGCGGAACCGGTTACGCCAGGAAAATCCAACTGTCTGGTGTTTAATCGATTACGCCATGTCAATCTATTCGATTACGCCATATAATTCTCACTTCCTCTAGGTCTCCTCAACGGAATATTCGCTCCACGGTCTCGACAAATACACCGAATACGCCATTCGAGTCGAAGCCGAAGGGGATAATGGATCTGGGCTGTCATCGGATGTCGTCACGGTCCGTACCCTGCCCGACGCCCCGTCAGCCGCTCCAGAAGACGTGGCCGTCGAGCCGGAATCTTCTACGGCGATCCGCGTAACTTGGAAACCACCACCAAAGAATGCGCATAACGGACAGGTACTGTAGTTTGTAATTTTAATTATTTTTAATCCGGAAAATCCCTCCCAATTTTTCCACATTGAATTTTTTAATTTATAAATCCATTTTTTTCGATTTTTAGCGAATTGTTGCGATTTTTGGTAGTATTACTGTGGCTAAAATCGATCTTTGTAGTTTTTTGCTGAACTACCGTAATTTGGCAGCGAACTACCATAACGCTAAATTTTTTCAGTTAACTGGCTACCGTATCAAGTACAAAACGAAGCAAAAGGGCACGAAAATACAGCAGATTGCTGTGGAAGATCCACATTTAATGGAGAGACGCTTGGATGATCTTGATCCTGGACAGCATTATCAGATACGAGTGGCTGCTGTCAATCAGGTACCGTAGTTTTCTCAGTCCCTCTCTCTCTCTCTCGCTCTCTCGCTTTCTCTATCTCTGTCTCTTTGTCTCGCTCTCTCTCTACAACATCCACCTACTCCTCCTTCACTCTCTCTCTCTCTCGCTCTCTCTCTCCTCTCTCTCTCTATCTTACTCTCTCTCCCTGTCTCTCCCCCTCTCTCTCCCTCACCCTCTCTCTCTCTCACCCTCTAACCCTCTCTCTCACTCTCTCACCCTCTCTCTATCTCTTTCTCCCACTCTTTCTCTCTCACTCTCCCTCTCTCTCATCGATCGATTTTCAGAACGGTACGGGTCCATTTTCCGACTGGCTTCGCGCCGATACCCCTTCCGTTGACAAGGAGGAGAAGCTGCTCGGAGCCCCGGTCGAATTGAAGCCGATTCCAGGTCAGTATTGCGCTCTATGACAGCCAGAATACAAATACAAACTATAAAACCAGCTTAAAAATCGGGGTTTCATGTCGTAATTGATTTAATGCGGTTTTCGCACTTGTTGCCAGGCAGTTTAGGCCCACAAACAAGAAAATTACCCGGACCGAACCCGGTTTTCATGGCCTAATCGAAACCCGCATTTTCAGGCCCGGACTACATCATCGTAACGTGGAAACCCCCGTCCGATGACACGACAATAATCCGTGGCTATCAGATTGGCTGGGGAAATAATGTGCCGGATGTGGAGATGGAGACTGTCGGTCCATCAGCACTGCAACATCGCATTGAGGGGCTGCATCCGGGCAGGGAATATGTGGTCAGTCCAGGTGCTAGAAATTCACACAAATAAATCCGGATATCCCGCAAAAAAAATGTTAAAAAATGTCATTTTTAGATCAGCGTTCGGGCGAAAAACAACGTCGGGTTGGGGTATCCGATTTATGAGACTGTCCGGACCGGAAGTGAAAAGGGGAGGAGCCCGTTTGGGAATTCTGATGATGGGCATGCTGATGATGGTGAGTGGAATATCGTTGCAATCGGTTTATTTCCCCCTCTCTCTCTCTCTCTCTCTCTCTCTCTCTCTCTCTATCTCTCTCTCTCTCTTCCATGTCTCTCTCCCGCTCTCCCGCTCTCTCCTCTCTATCTCCCTCTCTCTCCCTCTCTCTCTCTTCCATATCTCTCTCCCGCTCTCTCCTCTCTCCTCGCTCTCTCTCACCCATATCTCTCTCCCTCCCTCTCCCTCTCTCTCCCTCTCTCCCTCTCTCTCACTCACTCTCTCTCTCCCTCTCTCTCTCGCCACTTCCCGGTCCCTTTAATACTTCTTCTACTTTCCAGGCGATGATTCTACCGTAACCCCAATCGGCGTCCGTGCCGAGGCCATTTCCGCTTCATCAATGCGTATCATTTGGACTGATCCGGATCAAGAGGCATTTAACGTCAAATATACCGTCAAATACTCTACACAGTACGTTTGGTTAATGGATTACGATGTGAAAATGGTAATGGGTTAGGATATAAAATTCCTTTCAGAGCGGAAGGCAACAAACTACATTATGCGGAGTCATCAGATCCATTTGTGGTTGTCGAGAGTCTGAGGCCGGCGACAGAATATGAATTCTCTGTGCGAACATCACATCGAGGGGCACACTCACTGTGGAGTATGGCTGCCAGAAATAGGTGGGAGAGATCACTTGGGGAATGGGTAGACTGGCTGGCAGTTCACTGGAATTCGAGCCCGGTAGGCTAGCAGAGGTCATTTGTGCAGAGTTCCAGCTCCTGGAATGGGCAGGCTGACTGCCAGTTCGAAGATCCCAATGGCTGGGTGAGCTAGCAGAGACCATTTGCTAGCGAAAATCCAAATTTTCGTTTCAGAACCCTGTCCTCCCCTCCCTCCTCTGCTCCTCGTGATCTCTCGCTCTCCCCATCCCCATCTGGAGATCCACATCATGTTCTTCTCGAGTGGAAACCACCCAAATATGCCAATGGAGAATTGCTCGGTAGGTTCGGAATTATATGGCGTAATTGACTGGCGGGTTGCCGGTCCCTTTAAAACTGATTTTTGACGAATTTTGCGTGGCAATCTATTTGATTTCCAAGTAATTGCATGGCGTAGTAGACGCATGATCTGCCAACTCCTTAAAAATACCTTTTTGGAGAAATTTCGTCTCGTAATCGGTTCTAATTTGGGGAATTACAGAGCGTAATCGATTAATCTTTCGTTGACTGCATTAAAACGAGATTTTTGAAGGTATTTTATGCCGTAATCGGTTTAATCGATCGAGAATTACAAGGCGTAATCAGTTGTTGCCTTGTCAGTACCTTTAAAATTCAAATTCCGAGAAGTTTGATGTCTTAATCGTTTGAATAATATCGCGCAATCGGAAAACCGTGTTTTTTCCAGAATACCTGATCTACTACACGGACCGTTCGACCCTAGAAGACAAAGATTGGCGTCTCCTCTCTATCCCCGCAGCTCGTAATACACATTCTATCGCTGATCTACTCCCATCATCCACCTATTACTTCAAGATACAAGCCAGGAATGAGATGGGTAAGTGCCCGACGCACCATGTCACTAGAAAATGGACGCTTCTAGGTTATGGCCCCCTCTCCCCGGTCGTTACTTGGCGAGGTATCGGAGGATTAGCCGTTCCTACCGGCCGAGTACCGCTTGGAGGAGCTGGAACTGCTTTTTCGATCGACCATTTTGTTCAGGTGCGTATCTAGATCAAAATGGTTGTTTTAAAGGGACTTGGAAGGCCCTCCTTATCGATTTTGACTCTCACGACACGCAACGCACACGCGCCCTTTGACCAGAATTGGGGGGCGTAATCGATTGCGCGGCTGAAAGGCCACGAGTGCGCGTTACGGGTCGCGGATGTACCTTAAACTATTTGAGACGTGACTACAAACTACACGAATTTAGACGCTTCTCTCGAATCCTCTCCACCTTCTGATTGCCGGTACCTGCCTCGTCGTGGCCATCGTCGCTGTTGTTCTCTGTCTGCTATGCATCTTCAGACGGTTAGTTAAGCCAAAGCAAGACAGAGAGAGAGAGAGAGAGAGAGAGAGTGAGAGAGAGAGAGAGAGAGAGAGAGAGAGAGAGAGAAAGAGAGAGAGTGTGTGAGAGAGAGCGTTCTCACGTTCTGAGTGAGAGGGAGAGTGAAAGAGAGGGAAAGACAGAGAGGTAGAGAGAAACAACTGTCCGATTTTCAGGTCATCGAAGAAACCTCGCGCCAAGCCCGGGCAATCCGGCGACTTGTGGATCAACCAATCCCACGGAACTCATCTCCGACCAAATAATTCAAGTAAGCAAATTATTTCTCACACGCAGATACGGACGCACCATGTCGAAAAACCGTTTTCCGATACATTCGTTTTCCATCATATTTTTTTTGGGCGGTGGTGACTTTATTTTTGGGGTTTTTTGCCGTTTATTTTACCCTGCGAATCCTTGGTTTTAGTGGAGCTGCTAGGTGGTGATGTTCTGCACCATCCCGCCCATCCCCATCATCCTCTCCATCATCACAATACCATCAAAACCCAGGGATCTCCATCCCCTCCACCAAGATATCATGCACTACAGGCTGCACAAGGTAGTTCGTTTATTTTTTCGGTCTCATTCCCGTTTTTTTTTGCTTGTCCTGTAATCTGTGGCCTCAGTTTTGTAGTCTGTACTTTGTAGCCTGGATCGATACTACAAAATTCGCGCTTTTTGGGTTTCAAAAATTGATTGATTTGATTGCTATTCGTGTATCGAATTTTTGTAGCTTCTAGTCGGTAGCCTATACTTTTTGTAGTTTGTAGTTTGTAAGTTGGCATGCAGGCTACAAAGTCAAAATATTTTTAAGTTCCAGATTGTTTAGATTTTTTTGTTTTGGAGTCTTTTCGAGTTCTCGTAGTTTGTAGTTTGTAGCCCAGACTTTTCATGGTTTGTAGTTTGCAATCTGGCATTTTTCAGCTTTGTAGTCTATAGTTTTTTGGCATTGAAACTCATTTTTTTTGGTTTGAAGTTTACGATTTTTTTGTAGTCTGTAGTCTGGCAGGCAGACTACAAGCTGCGATCGGACAACCTGAATTTTTGTAGTCTGTAGCCTGTGGTTTGTACTTTGTAGTCTGTGCCATTTTTGTAGTCTGTAGTCTGGCATGCACTCTGTCGTTTCGTCCCCACCCACCCTCGATATTTCCAGAACTAGCCGGCACTGACGATGGTGGTCACTACGGCACCGTAGGCCTTGGTCGTGGCTCCTCCCAGCGTCGTCTCCTTCTCTCTTCTAAAGGCATCGTCCCAGCTGCCACAAATCGAGCCCTGATCCCTCCCCTGCGATGTCCTCCACCCGGCTCCTATGCACACAGCGATGACAATGATAGTATGCATTTTTAGTTTGATTTTTTACGTTTAAAGGTACTTGGAAGTCTAGGAAAGGCTTTCGATTTGCCTTGCTGGGCCCTTTAACAACGGCGCTTTTTGTTTTAAAGGAGCTAGGAAGCCAAACTGCCTGGTAGTAGCTATGGATTTGCCTGTCAGGCCCCTTTAAAGCCCAATTTGGGCATTTTAAAGGCACCCAAAAGTCTTGGAAATCCTATCGCTTTGTCTTCCTGGTTCCTTCAAAATAGGTTTCGGTAGTTTTAAAGGAGCTGGGAAGCCAAACTGCTCAACAGTAGCTATGGATTTTTCTTGCCAGGCCCTTTAGTCTGTTTTCGAGTCCAGGATACGGTAGATCGAGCACTTTTTAGTTTTGCCTTGGTTATGCAATTTGATATTGTCATGTGGTTCGACCGGTTTTGAGAATTTTTCAGGAAATTTCCAGATTATAATGACGTAATCGATTAGGAAATAGAATTACATGGCGTAATCAACTGAAAAAACGCGAAAATTTCAGGTGGTACCCTCTCGCGATCCTACCATCACTCGTCTTCGAGTCTCGAGCAGAGAGGAGGGCCGAGAACACCACAAGTTGTATATACCGGCATTGGAAGACATCAGGTACGGACAGGGCAGGCTAGCAGAGAACATTTGGGAACGGAGGGGCAGGCTAGCAGAGATTCTTTAAGGAAAAGTCAAAATCTATGAATTGACCTAATTTTCAGCCGATCGCAAAGGTGGAACTGGACTCTCCGTATGGATCAGCTGGCCAACTACCCCCACCAACCCTTCCCCTTCAAATGCCACCAAATATACCGTCTTCTATGATACCTCAAGACGGATATAGAACATTAAGGGGTGGACATCCACAACAACCAATGGCCAGTGGGAATCCGTTGAGGTACGTTTCTCTCTCACTCTCTCTCTCTCTCACTCACTCTCTCGCTCTCTCTCTCTCTCTCTCTCGCTCTCTGTTTCTCTCTCACTCGCACTCTCTCACGCGCACTCTCTCTGCCTCACTCTCTCGCTTTCTCGCTCTCTCTCACTCTCTCTCTCACTCCCTCACTGATCCCATTAGGCCAGCTAATTCGTGAACGTAATCAATTACGATAGCTAATTCTCATCTACCCCTCCGCTTTTTCAGATCCTTCACAACCGTCTGCCCTCCTCCCCGTGGTGGCCCCCAAGTGATAATGGCCCAAAAACAAGTGCCAGTTGGAAGGGCCCAGGCACAACCAAGGGTCAATATGGCCAATATTTACAGGTTGGTATCTCAGGCGATCACGACATGTAATTCCCTCAACTCCCATCAATCGGTTACGCCATATAATCGCATCCTTTTCAGCCCGTACGCCTCGTGCTCCCAAATTCCGCGGGATGACGACAAGCATATAGCTCGTATGGATTCGGAATCGGATGAGAGGACACCGTTGCAGGTCAGTTTACGGTTTTATGATATTTCCGGTCGATTTCTGAATAGAAGAAAGCGGAAATCGCGTCAATTTAGCCGGCAAAAATCAGGAAAAACGGCATGGAAAAGTTTTCCGCGCCGCAATCAGCAACATGCACGCGCCGCTCAACCGCTAGAAATGTGACGTAATCGATTATGCAACGGAAAGGCGGGGCGTGCGCGTTGCGTGTTGCGGCCGCGGTTCTCTATGCTTTTTTGCTGTGAAACGCAGCGCGCACGCTTCGCTTTAACGTGGCATAATCGATTACGCCATGGAAGGGCGGGACGTGCGCGTTGCGTGGCGCGGCGAGGCAATTGATTTCAAAACCTTAAAAACCGCTCTAAATTTCAGCCATCCGCCTCCAACGAGGAACTCAACGAGCTGACCGAGAATATCGACAACTTCCTCGACGATCTCAAAAATATGGACATGGGACCAAGATCTGAGGCCGGCTGGAGCGCCGATTAACCCCCGGAAAACTCGCTATAAAAATCGATACTTTAATACCCAAAAGTAGAGGGATTTTTATTGGAATTGAAATCTCAACTTTGGTCACCTTTCCACCTGAAATATCCCGGTTTTGCACCTAAAATCAAAATTAAACTCCATTTTTCACTACGAAAATCATAATACTGCTCTCTAATTCGTTGTGATCTTCATTATCCATTTTTACAATGACTTCTCAGGCCTTTTTTATACTTTTTTGACCCAGGCATTGTTGAAAAACCTGCCAAGGCTTATATCTCGGCCGGAAAAAGGTCTCTCGACTTCGCGAGAATCTCAAAAGGTGCGCCTCGCTTTAAACTATCTGTCCTAACTTTTATTCAAAAGAAAAACGTCCAAAAAAAAGACTTTTAAAAGCTTTAAACGAAGCTTCATGTTTGGGTTTGCGAGCCGGTTACGCTAGGCAACATTGCGCTCCTTTGAACGCGGGCCGGGTCAAGATCTCCCAGCGCCAGTCTTTTCAAGAAAAACCCTTCTAAAATCGTTATACGTTATATTTTCTGTTCAATAAATACATTAAAATGTAGCTTAGAATGAGGCGCATCTTTTGAGATACTTTCGAGACCTGTAAACCCCTGGATCACCGAGATATAGGGCCAGAAAGTTGCCCGACCCCGATTTCTTTCAAATTCCTGCCCATTTCACTTCTCTTCGCTTCAATTTTGCCCAATTACGTGATTTTTGCTATTTATTATTTTCTGTCACTGTTTATAACTATCATTGTGTTTTTGACTGCCCGAAAAACGTGTATATTGGCTCGTAAATTGCTCGTCTCATTCCGCGCTCCACACGACATGTTGCTCGCTCTTCCCTTATTCGCTTTCTGTTCTCCGTTTCGTATCTCAGAAAATTGAAGCATATTGAATTATTTTTATTTTTCATGCATTTTGGTGAATAAAACGTTCAAAAATTTACTCAAACCACAGGGCAGAAAGGCGAGAAAAGAGAAAATTTTGGAGAATAAAAGAAGAGCAGACTAGCAGTGACCATTTGGGGAAATACCCGGCCAAAAAAGTAGTAATCTGTAGTCCTAGGTCGTAATTTGTAGTTTGTAGTTCTTGTGATGTAATCTGTTGTCGTCGTTTTGTAGTTTGTAGTCTGTATTTTGTTGTTTGTAGCTCAGCCACATCGACAAAGGGTTTATTAAACCGAGACGAGAGAGATTTGACAGCGGAAATGAAGGAATACGGATCGGACAGCTAGTGGGTATAGCGAGAGAAATGGGCAGAGAGAGACATACTCAGATAGAGAGAGGGAGAGAGACTAATTGCGAGAGGGCGAGAGGAGCGATAGATATCCGGACGAGTGATCGCATGCCGTGTCGAGCTGAGGGGAACTCGTCTCCGGGGCCACAATCTTCTCCAGGGATTGCGTTCTAGAAATAGACTACGCTAGGCAACAAACTACAATCTTCGGGGGTAGTTAGCGATCGTAATCGGTTAACTGGCAGACAAACAAAAAAAATTGACGAGTTGTTTTCCTGAAAATTCGACAGGTAAGACTCCAGATAACCCCCGCCAGCCGGCCCCCAACTTTTGTATCTCGGCTCCCTGTTCATCTACAGGTGTGTGAAGTATACCAAAATGTTCGTCGTGCTGTGGCGAGTATTTTTGTATACTTTACACACCTGTAGATGAACAGGGAGCCGAGATACGGTAGGTGGGGGTAGGCTGGGGGAGGGCTTATCTGGAGTTCAGCCTTTCGACAAAAATCAGCCATAAGTCCTATTAATGCGCCGAGTTTTTCAAAATGTTCCTCGTGCCCCAGTTTACACCGAAAACTTATTACATCCATCAGAAATAGTTCTAAAAATATTTTTTAAAGAGCGGAAAGGCTGGAAAAACCAGGAAACCGGCTTTTGCCCTTCCAAACGTCGTTAAATATTAAAATTGTCAGGTTTTCGACATACAAATCGACTAACTGACAGACAGAGCGCTACTACCCGAAACTACAAACTTCATCGGACAGATCGTGGCCATCCGGGGACCCACTTCATCATCTCATCATCGCCACCATTATTGGCGATTGGCTGTGTCTTCTTTTGTGTCTTTCCATATTCATTATTGGCGGCTGTGGTGTTGTTGAGGGGCCATCGAAGCCGAGTCCCACTCAGCGGCTGCTGCGGCTGATGGGTCTGCAATTTGGAGTTTGTTGTTGTCGTTCGGCCGTACGCCTCCCCCCAAACCGACTGGCTCAACTGTATCTCGGCCGCCCGGTTATCTACAGTTGTATAAAATATACCAAGATATGCGCCTTGATCTGGCGAGTATTTTGGTCTACTTTACAGCCCCGTAGCTCACAGGGGATCCGAGATACAAAAGTTGGTGTCGAGCGCCGCGGGACGGGGGCGTAAGAAACCCTTTTCTCCCGCTTTTATCCCGGCTCCCCTCTATGCTACATAGCTCTTTGATATACCAAAAGACTTGCCTGACCGCGGCGAACATCTTGATCTATTTTATAACCATGTAGCATGCTCTGGAGCCGAGTTGCAAAAGATTGACTCTGATGAGGCGGGGGGTGGGGGTGAAGGCGCACTCTAACCGTTATATCTCGGTTACCCATTTAGCTACAGAGGTGCAAGGCATACCAAAATACTCCCCAGGTCAAGACAAACATTTATGTATATTTTACAGCTTTTTAGTCTAAAGCAAGCCGAGATACAAAAGGCCTGGGGGCTGCTGGCGGGCGGGCGCGTCAAGTACACTCTAACCCTTATATCTCGGCTTCCTATAGACTTACAGGGCTGTAAAGTATACCAAAATGTTTGTCTTGTTCTGACAAGTATTTTGGTATCTTTTACGACACTGTAGCACACCGGGGAGCTGAGATACAGTCGATACGGGGAGGCGGGGGAGGTGTCCTGCTAAACTGCACCGATACCTTGTTGTTCTGCTGCTGCTGCTGTTGTTGTTGTTGTTGTGGTTCAGTGGTGGCTTGTGTGGGTCCTGTCTTGACACGACTCTTTGCAATCCACAGCATTCCCGATTGGCACTCGGCTTTTCGGGCCAACGGATTGTCCCCCTCCACTTCCTCGAGGTCCGTCTCGTCGCGTTGCTGAAAATCACGACCTTTTGGGCTCGAAGCAGGGTCAATTATCTCTGTCAGTTTGCCCTGGGAGCGGAATCTCTAAACTGCCCGCCGGTGTACAAATTTCAGTAAAAAAATCTCTGCTAGCCTGCCCAGAAATTCCTAAATTGTCTCCGCTAGTTCGCTGCTAGTCAGCTGGCCTAAAACCCACCTCTTGGGCCTTACATTTCCACAAATTCTCTCTGTTAGTTTGCCATTCTGCAATCGGACAGCCACTCTACCAATTCCTCCCAAAAAATCTCGGCTAGCCTGCCCCCTTTCCTCACCTCGACATTCAGATGGAAGCTGCAGTGGGTGCGCTGCTCGCGGGCCGTCTTGCAGCACTTTTTCGGCGATTCTGAAGCAGAGAAAATCACTCTAGATTTTTTTTTTGACTCCCACTCTTAGTGTCGATCAGCTTGACGGGAATTGGCTTGAATGCTTTGTGTGATGGATCACTGGCATCACCCGCTTTTCGACTGCCCGACGACTTCGACGATTTCGACTTCTGGAACGGATTTTTGAGGCAGGCTCGCAGTGATTCTTTGCGGAATGGGTAAACTGGCCGTCAAATATGCCAAAAAAGACATGTGCACGCTAGCAGGGACCATTTGCGATTCAGGGCGAGCTAGCAGAGATTTTTTGCGGAATTTGCGGCAATCATGCGGAGATTCTTGGCGAAATCGCTAGGCTGGCTAGCAGCTACGCGAAATCCAAAAGGCAGGCTAGCAAAGACCATTTTGGGAGCCAATTGCCCACCGTAGACGTGATGCGTTTGAAGCAGAGAGGTAGTGTGAGTATTAGTAGAAGGGGAATACACCCCCACACCTCCATCAGCCATATCATCGCGAGTGGGGCCGGTAGAAATGGGGGAAGACCCAACAGATCTCGGTTTTTGATCGGGTATGCAAATTTTTGGATGTAAATCGATGGAATTTGACGATTTTGGAGGCAGGGCAAGCTAGCAGCGAATAATAGGAAGCAATGGGACTAGCAGAGGCCATTCTGGAAGGTCGGCTGGCTGGCAGCGCTAGTCTGAGGATTTATTCTCTCTCTCTGTCTCTCTCTCTCTCTCTCTCTCGTTCTGTTTTTCTCTCTCGCTTCTGTTCGCGGAATCAATGAACTGACTGCCAGATAGACGAATCGTAGACGGGCAAGCTAGCACGGGCCATTTTAGAAATCGCCCAAAAAAAAATTCGTCATTCACTGATCTGGTCGCCAGATTGACGAATCCTCAAATGGCAAGCCAGCAGAGACCATTTAGCGCCGATCCCTCCCTGCCTGGCCAGTCCATGAATGGGATTGCGTGGATTGCGTACTGTCTGTCTGTCCGTCTGTCTGTCTGTGTGTTGGTATGTGGTGTTAGGAGGGTCAAAGGGCCGGCTAGGTGAGAGAAGAGAGGTCTAGCTGGGAGGTATTGCGCATTATGGCCTCCAACGGGCTGTATTTGGCCCTTCACTCTCTTTCTCTCTCTCTCTCTCTCTCTCTCTCTCTCTCTCTCCACTCGGCAATCTGTAAGGAAAGGGGGTTGACTCGACCCTCTAGCTAGGCACAAATATGCCCCCAGGCTATGCTGGTGGGAAGGAGTGATCGGCAGTGGGTAGATGGTAAGCCAGTTTGCAGATTCAACACCATTTCGTACCCCTAAAGCGATAGATCAATTCCTAAATGGCCTCCGCTGGTTAGCTGGCAGTCAGTTCATCAATTCCGCAAATGATCTCTGCCAGCTTGCCTGACTGATCTCGCAAGGGGGCCTCTGCTAGCTGTCTGGCTGCCAGTTAGCGTTTTCGGCTCCATTAGCTAGATGACAGTTAGCCCAATCGAGTGGAATTTAGACCAAGACTTTCCGCAAATGGTCTCTGCTAGCTTGCCTTTTTGGATTTCGCGCGCTTGTCATCCAATTAAGCTAAGAAATCAAGGAATCTCTGCCAGTTTGCCCAGGGCTTCCGAAATTGTCTCTGCTAGTTAGCTGGATGACAGGTAGCTTGATGGAGTCGAATTTGGACGCAGAATTTTCCGCAAATTGCCTCTGCTAGCCAGCCCTTCCAGAATTTATCTATCTGTCATCCAGCCTACCTATTCCTCAAAGAATTCCCGCTAGCCTGCCCCTTTCCCTCCAGCTTGACCCCTGATAAGAGCCTGCGTCCTTTTTATGTCCACCCCTTTCCATCAGATTACCATATACGGGGCGGCTATTTGCCAGTTCCCTGTCATATTTGCATAACCTAGTGACCAACCAGAAGGCCCTATCTGAGATCTCTCTCTCTCTCTCTCTCTCTCTCTCTCTCTTACCTACTCACTCCCTCAATCAAACATACCCAAGAAGGGCCATCCCCTTATCCTCACTACCTAGCAGCTACTGCCCAAGGGCCCGAAAGTTTCCACAAATGGCCTCTGCTAGCTTGCCGCGTTGCGATTTTGTCGCCAGTCAGGGTATTCCGCGAATCTGCTAGTCTGCACCTTCCGATTCCCAAATGGGTTCTGCTAGTTGCCTGCCTGCCAGTTAGCCGGCCAAACGAGTCCGGGGCCGGATTCTGTCTTAAATGGCCTCTGCTAGCTTACCGCTTTGGGATTACGCCGAACTGCCAGCCAGTCCAAACATTCCGCAAATGCTCGCTGCTGGCATGCCTCCAGGTCCCGCTGCACAGATTGTTGCGCAGGCCGGACATCAAATTTCATGTTCTCCACCTTGCATAATTAGGCGAGAGCGAGAGAGAGAGAGAGAGAGAGAGAGAGAGAGAGAGAGAGAGAGAGAGAAGGGAGATGCACCTGCCCCCATTCTCCCCTTTCCATTCCGATATCGTCCTATCAACGGTCATCTCCTCCTGCTCCCCTTCCCTTCTCTTCTGATCATCCACTATATACCACTAGCCCCTCCTCCTCCTTCTTTTCTGATATCCACCAAGTCAAGGTCAGGGAGGAGCACCAACTCCGAGCCTCGGAGCTCCGGGTCGATATCTTTTGGCCTCAAACCTCAAGCTGCCTACCAGGCTACACAAATTCGTCGCTGGGCAGGCTAGCAGAGATCATTTGTGGAAGCACGGAACATTTTTTGGAATTACTTGCTCAAAAATATGGATCTTCCCACCTTCAAGATACCTTTAGCGCTTTTTGGCAGGGCTGACCCGGGATTGATACGATTCGCACCCCCCCCCCCATCCATTGTACAATCCGTTGAATCATCTTCTTCTCTTCTCCCCTTGTGTCGATTCATGCCCTCCCGAAAGATTCCTAACCCCCCCCAACAGCCATTCTTTACTTTACGCGTCTTTTTTACGAGCTCTTATGCCAATAAATGGATTTCCCGATTAGCAAAGATTTTTGGGGAATTAGGGCAGGCTAGCAGAGATCAGTTGGGAAAGGGACTGATCGACTGTCAGTTAGAGCAAATCGAAAAGGGCAGACTAGCAGAGATCGTTTCGGACTAATTAGTGGGTAATTTTTGCCACGAATTCTTGTGATCTGGATGGTAGCTCGAAGGCCAATGGCACTGGATTCCCCAAATTGCCGATGCTAGCTTGCCAATTCGTGAATTCTTGGAAACTGCCTGGCAGATTGGCGATGGGTGGTGACGATTTCACAAATTGTCTATGCTAGCCTGCCCTAGACGAATTATTCGCCCTGAAAGGTCGCTGCAAATCGGTGTCCCCATCAATCATTTGACCATCGATAGATACTAGCTCTGTTCGATATCTTTCGAAGCGTTCCTGCCAATTTATTGCTTCTCGCGTAGCTCAGGTTTCTCAACTCAACTTTTACATATTTTATATTTTTTATCCATCAATTTTCTTGATTTTTTTCCGAAATATACAGTAACCCAAAAAATCAACTTATTTGGTTTTCTTCAGCTTTAATTTATTTTATCTGGCTATTTTTTCAACGCAAAAACTTTGTTTGGATGTAGAATTAAGAAATTACAAAATTTAATTTCTGGGCATAAAATTAAAATCCTCCAATGTCGCTTTTTTCGATTTACGGAACCAACCTGCGAAAAAGACATGGCTTTCTGCAGAAGATTCGATTCGAATTCGAACTTTTGAAAACCTTATTTTTTAAAAATTATTTTATTTTATCACACAAACAATTATCGATTTTTGTGTTCCAATTCATTGATTTATTTTGCTCTCGTTATCGATTTTATTAAATTACTTCCATTAATTCCACCGCTGATTCATCAATATAAAGGTCTTTTTTCAGGCTAACCCCCTCATTTCTCGAAGAAATATGGGCCTCCAAGGGCGTCCACCCAGACGCCTGGCCCTCCTATTTCTTCTCTGTCTCTCTACCCTCTCCACTCTCTCCTCAGCTACCACCAATTTCGTGGATGATGGTTTTGAGGGGGAAACTGATGAGGAATACGATCAACGATATGCCGAATTTGTCACCACTGAAACCGGTGAGAAAAATTGATTTTTTTTCGGATTTTTGAGTTTTTAGAACGCGGTCTGTTCCCCTCGATTTTCAACCTGGCGACAAATGCTATGATCTCTTCGACGGCTACTTGTGGAGAGAGGGGACCCGAGGAATACTGTAAATTGGTCGAACATGTGCTGTGGAGGAAGACGCCTGGCAATGGGTAAATCCATTTCTCTTTCTCTCACTCTCTCTCTCTCACTCTCTCTCTCTCTCTCTCTCTCTCTCTGACTCTCACTCTCTCGCTGACGACGAAAAAGACAGAACAGAAAAAACGAAGCGAAAAACGAGAGGATAGCGCAGTGATAGTGCGTTAGCCTGCCGCCCACAAGGCCCGGGTTCGACTCCCGCCCGCGGCAAACTTTTTGCTTTTTGGAATTTACACCGAATTTTGTTGAAAATCACTAATCTGACATCCAAACTACAATGGTAACTATTGGGGTCAATCCATTGAATGTCAAAAAGCGCAACGCGCAATCACGAAACTGACATCCAGACTACATAACTCCATAACTTTTTTCCAGTGCTCCCCAATGCGACACGTGCGATGCAGATGACGCGAGACGGAGACATCCAGTCGAATTTGCGATCGATGGAACAAGAAGGTCAGATTTTGTGATTTTTATACAGTATTGAACGCGAAAAACAATAGCTCAGATGGTAGGCTAGCAGAAATCTTTGTGGAAAGGGCAGTTGGGCTGTCAGAAGAGACATTCAGGTCATTTTTAGCCTCAAAACCCCCTAGGATTTCCGGGAATAGCTTCAAAAAATTGAAAAACAACACCAAAAAAATGTTTTCCAGATGGTGGCAAAGCCCTTCGCTGCACAATGGATTGGAATATGAGAAGGTGAACATCACAATTGATCTCCGTCAAGAATATCAAGTCGCATATATGGTGGTCAAGATGGGGAATGCACCGCGGCCCGGATCATGGGTTCTGGAGAGGTCGCGCGACGGCGAGAAGTGAGTTATCGGTTTTGTAATTTTTATAGCGTTATCCATTCCCGAATTCTTTATTTGCAAATTTGGTCGCAAAAACCTAGGTTTATCCGGTTACGACAGGGAAATAGTTCTCATAATCCAGTGAGGCATAAAAAACCATGATTCCTAATCGATGACGCCATCAAAATAGCGCTTTCTAAAGGATTACGCCATCAAAACCTCATCTCCCAATTAACCACGTCATAAAAATGCTTTTTTAATCCATTACGTTATCAAAATGCCATCCCCCATCGATTACGATATGAAATACCTTGCCTAATCGATTACGCCATTAAAATCCGTCAATTTCGTCACTTCCCGGGCCCTTTAAAACCGACCAATTACTCTTTTTAGCTGGCAAGCATGGCAATATTTCGCTACAAACGACGCTGAATGCGTGCGACTATTCGGAATTCCGGCCACAGCCGGCGTTCCAAGATTCCAGGCTGATGATGAGGTGCGTTTCTCTCTCTCTTCCGCTCTCTGTCACTCTGTGTCTCTCGCTTTCACTCTCGCTTCCAAGTCCCTTTAAAATAATTTTTCAGGTGCACTGCACGTCGGAATACTCAAACTGACCCCGCTGGAGTATGGTGAGATCCATATCTCTCTTGTCAACGGAAGACCCGGCGCCAAGGGACCGTCACTCGAACTTCAGGTGCTCCAGATGAAGTTCAGATTTTACACATCATCATCGATTCCAGAAATTCACGCGTACCCGTTTCGTGCGTCTGCGTCTCATCGACCTGCGCACGCTCAATGCCGATTTGTTGATCGTCAACTCGAGGGGGCACAAGTTGGACAAGAGTGTCACTATGAGGTCAGGAAAATCGGAGATTTTATTGGGATAGTGGCGGACGCGTCACGGCTGCGTTGCGTGTCGCACGAAATTTCTTCAGGAAAGTAGAGGCGCGACGCAGCCGCGACGCGTTTACCCGTCCTTAGACCGTATTTTCACGGGATTGTTCTGACCTGTCACCACACCTTTAAACCCCTGTTTCAGATATTTCTACTCGATCTCCGACATCTCAATTGGCGGCCAATGTATCTGTTATGGACATGCGGAGAGTTGCCCGGCTGATCCGGTTACTGGGGTACGGTTTTTGTGGCGTAATCGGTTTCTAGCTTGATTTCTCTGTCTCTCTCTCTCCCGTCCCGCTTTCTCTCTCTTTCTCTCGCGCTCTCTCTGTCTCTCGCTCTCTCTCTCTCTCTCTCTCTCTCTTTCTCTCCCTCTCTTTCTCTCGTTTTTCCAAGCTCTGAAAATACCTCTGGTTTTCATAGCGTAGTCGCTTGTTTCTGGTTTGGGAATTTCGTTGCGTACTCGATTGTTTTTTTGCAGCAATTCCAATGCGAATGCCGTCACAATACCTGTGGAGAATCGTGCAACAAATGCTGTCCGCTCTTCAATCAACTCCCCTGGAAACCCGGCACCAACGCGCAGCCCAATATTTGCCAGCGTGAGTTTGAACACCATAGGCTAAACTGGATGTCACACTCCCTTTAAACGTTGTTTTCAGAATGTCAGTGCTTCTCCCATGCTGATGAATGTGTCTATGATGAAGATCTGGCTCGCGATCAGCTCTCAGTGACGCCGGAAGGTGTTTTCGAGGGTGGTGGACGGTGTCTGCAATGTCAGGTAGGGAATGTCATGCCGCTTTAACGATTCTGCTATCGGCCCGCGACACGCAACGCACACTTCGGTTTGATCGCGTTCAAGGTGGCGTAACCGATTACGCTATGAAAGGTCGCGCTTACGCGTTGTGTATCGCGGATCTAACGGACGGGCGGGCCGACGGACCTCTTTCGGGGCCAAGCGGGGCGTGCGCGCGTTGCGTGCCGCGGCGAGGCTAGATGGCGAATCTTTGGCCAACAAAATACAGAGACTTGCCTTTCCGGGCCTTTAAAAGCTCCCTCTTCAGCACAACACGGAGGGAATCAATTGCGAGAGATGCCTGAAGGGATACTACCGTCCATCCGGAATGTCACACTATCGAGAAGATGCCTGTAGATCTTGTGATTGTGATGAAACTGGGTCGGAAAGTGAGGAGTGTATTCGTGATGATCAGTCGGCCATTAATGGAATGGTAGGTGGTCTGCAAAGACTATTTTTGCGCCTTTCGCTAAACTGCCTGGCCGTCTAGCAGTGGCCATTAGGGAATCACACCTAGACCTCAAATTACAACACTGACACTCCCAAATTTCAGGCCCCCGGTGACTGTCGTTGCAAACCGGGTTTCGGGGGGGCGGCGATGTGAGAGGTGTGCCCCTGGATACCGTAACTACCCTCATTGCGAGCCATGCCCATGCAATCAGGCCGGATCGCTCAATTTTGATCATTGTGAGCACGAGAAGTGAGTTTTTGGAATTACATGACGTAATCAATCCTCTCTTTCTCTTCCTCTCTCTCTTGATCTCTCTCCTTCTTTCGCTCTCTTTTCATAGCGTAACTGGTGCTCCGATTAGCTAGAATTCCGTTGCGTAATCGATTACGACATATTTATCACGACCAATCGGTGTGTGCGCGTTGCGTGTCGCGGCATGCAAATCAAGATTTGATGGCGTAATCGATTAAACCTGGAGTGTTTTAGATGCCAATGCAAAGCAAACGTCGAGGGTCTCTATTGTGATCGTTGCAAACCAGGCACCATCCATCTCTCCAAGGAAAACCCTCAAGGATGTCAACCGTGTTTCTGTTTCGGGCTCTCCACGAATTGCACCGAGAAGGAATGGGCTACTGGAAAGGTATCGTTAATGTTATGGACAGCTTAAACATGAAAAAAGCAACAGCCGGAATTTTCGATGATTTTCATGTCATAACTGGTTCGAGATTCAGCCAATTTTCGTGTTTTCAGATCCAAAAACAACTCGGCTGGCAGCTAACGGATTTGAGTGGAGGTCGAGAGGTGGCACCGGATAATGAGAATGGAGAGGTACGGGAGGGAAAGTGGGTTTAAAGGGACTGAGAAGTCCTGAAAAATACTGAAAAACCTTCCGTTGCCCCCAGCTAGAATTTTCATGGCGTAATCGATTCGCATGAGTCAGGATTTTTCATGTCGTAATCGATCGGTTCGTCGCCATTTTCAGCCGTAATCGGTTAAATACACTATTTGGTTGCGAGAGAGATAGAGAGAGACAGCGAGTGAGAGTGAGTGAGAGAGAGTGAGAGAGAAGAGAGAGAGAAAGAGAGAGACAGAGAGAGATTTCCTTATTTTTTCAGGTGCTAATGTTCAACGCGAATCAGAACAAGGACCGTTCGCTCTACTATTGGAAAGCCCCAAAAGCCTACAACGGAAATCTATTGACTTCATATGGAGGAATTCTCCACTATTACGTGTATTTTGTCCCGACTGACAGCTCGGAGACGATCCCAGTTGCTGATGTCGTCATTGAAGCCAGTTTTCGTAACCTTAAATTTCTAAAAAAAACGTTGTTTTTACATTTTTAAAACGGAAACTTTTATGAAAAATACCGAAATTTCCAAAATGTAAAAGTTTCCTAAAAAATTTGAATAAAATGAAAGATGACATTTTTAGACAATTTAAAACTCCACAATTTTTCGTAAAATTTCTAAAAACGTTTTTAGGGCCAAGGAAATCAAACTGAGCACCATTCCCGCATACCATTCCACCCGAGAGAAAACGTGACAGTCCAGATTGCACTTCGAGAAGGAGCCGGATGGTATAATAGTCAATCGAGGAGGCCCGCTGATAAGGTAACTGATTTAACGGGTGTAGTTTGTAGGCTGGATGCCAGTTAAAGGTTTCCACTGAAAAAACTGATGGCAAGATCAAAAAGCAAAACATTTGCCGCGGCCGGGAGTCGAACCTGGACCACGTGGATTCCGGCTTTTAGCTATTTTAGTTTTTTGGAAAATAGTTATAGTTTGTAGTCTGGATGCCAGTTAAAGGATTTTAATCAAAAAATTGACGAAAATTCCAAAAAAGCAAAAATTTGCCACGGCCGAGTGTCGAAACCGGGCAATCGAGCAGAGACCACTTGCAGAATTTTAACCCCGTTTTTTTCAGGCTGACGTAATGCGTGCCCTCTCTGGCGTCTCGCTATTCCTCGTCCGTGCCATGTACAACCAGAATCAACTCCAGAGCAGCATCTTCGGGCTCACGCTTGATAAGGTAAGTCTTGCAAGGTTGCGCTTGACACTCTTTTCATGGGCTAATCGGTTGGCCTTTGCCAAAAGGCGGCCATTCCAAGGGGTGAACGGGACCTTACCAAATTGAATTTTTCAGGCTGTTGCGAGGACCAAGGGAAATGCGCTAACCTCGGATACACTGATGAAATCGGTGGAAGTGTGCGAATGCCCCGAGGGAACATCCGGAAACTCTTGCGAGGTAAGGATCTGTTTCTCTCGCTCTCTCTAGCTCTCTTCACTCTGTCTCTCTCGCTTCCTCCGCTCCTCACTCTGTTCTTTCGCTCTCTTCTCCACTCTCTCTCGCTCTTTATCTTCTTTCTCTCTCTTCACTCTATCTCTCTCTCTCTCACCCTATTGTCGCCCTCTTTTCACCGGATTATCCTGGCCTAACTCTTCAAGCCGCCAACCGATAATTACATGGCGTAATGGATTGATTCATCTTGAACTTCTCGGTCCCTTTAAACGCTATTTCTATATTTCCAGTCATGCCCCCATGGCTACCGTCGTGTCGACAATCAGCTCTTCAACGGGCGATGCGAGAAATGTGACTGTAACGACCATGCCGATTCTTGTGATCCGTTCACCGGGGAATGCGCTGACTGTCAGGTAAGAACTACAAAATAAAGACTACACAGTGCTGCGGGCTACAAACTACAAAACGCAAAAAGCGTCCCGGCTACAGACTATAAACGTCGCAAAGTCGTCTAAAACTACAGACTACATACAATCAAACAAAGCGGTTAGAAAATCCTCTACAAACTACAAGCTAAGAACAAGACTACAAACTCTATGCTATGAAACGCGATTAAAGGGTTTTAGCACAACACGACCGGGATCACGTTGCGAAATGTGCCTCCCCGGCCATTACGGTAATCCATCGCTTGGAGGAGAATTTGGATCATGCCAACCATGCGCTTGCCCGACGCTTGACAACAATTACAGCAAGGAATGCGCTCTCGCACAGGTATGGACAGCAGAGATCTTTTAGGAATTTCGAACTTTTTCTAGCTGAAATGTCTCGGTCTGCCGCCCACCAAGATGCTCATGCTGTAGCCGGCTTGCGAACCTGGATACGAAGGGAATAAGTGCGAAGTATGTTTTGAGACCTTTGTTGCCATTAAAGTATCGTAATCGATTACGCGATGAAAAGTCTGGTGTGCATCGAGTTTAGCTGTACGGCAGATACTTTCCCCCTCGCTTCAACATCCGATTTTTCAGATGTGCGCCGACGGATATTGGGGAGATCCTCTGGAAGTAAACGGCACCTGCCGAGAATGCGAATGTAACGGAAATATCGACGCGATGGCCATTGGAAATTGTGATACGAAGACTGGAGAATGTTTGAAGTGTATTGGACATACGACTGGAGAGGAGTGTGAGGTGAGAGAGAAAGAGAGGGAGAGAGAGGGGAGAGAAAGAGATGGGGGAGAGAGAGCTAGAGAGAGTGAGAGAGGGGAGAGAGAGAGAGTTAGAGAGAGAGGTAGAGAGAGAGGGAGAGAGAGAGAGAGAGAGAGAGAGAGAGAGAGAGAGAGAGCGATGGAGAGAAAGAGTGAGAGAGCGAGAGCGAGAGAGGGGGAGAGAGAGTGAGAGAGAGAACGAGAGAGAAAGGGAGAGTTATACAAACACCGTATTCCCTTCCTAGAAATGCCTGCCCCATCACTTTGGTTCTGCTCTAACCCACACTT